TTATTACCAGGTGACCAGTTAGCTATAGGTAAAGAAACTGGGAGACGTCTTGGGATGGGAACGAACATGTATCCTTCATCATTTTTGCTTGGAGAACAAAAGGATTCCTCAGCTGCAGTCCTTCCAATTGAAGAACTCATTGAAAGCGCTGATGGATTTGCCGGTGTCTTTCCTGGTAAGTAGAACAAATTACTCCCTATGTTTCAATTTGTTTGTCTTACTTTCCTTATAGTACATTTACAAAAGAATGCCTCTTTCCTTTTTTCGGCAACTTTTAGTTTTCAACTTTCCACCTGACATGTTTATGACCACAAGATTCAAAACTCTTCTTTACTTTCTTAAACTTCGTGCAAGTCAAAACCAGATATATAAATTGAAATGGGGGGAGTAGAGACTTTGAGATCCTTATTTTGTATCATAATCTGTATATGTTACTCCTTGCAGAGCACAAGTACGAAATCGTGAGAATCTTACAAAGCAGGAAACACATTTGTGGTATGACTGGTGATGGAGTAAATGATGCACCTGCACTGAAGAAAGCCGATATAGGAATTGCTGTAGCAGATGCAACAGATGCAGCTCGGGGTGCTTCAGATATAGTTCTGACTGAACCAGGACTAAGTGTTATTATCCATGCTGTATTGACAAGCCGTGCCATTTTCCAGAGGATGAAAAATTACACAGTTAATAAAAACTCCACTTCATCCCACAAAGAAAATTAAACTAGTACTTTTAAGTATATATTTACATAGTACTAATTCTTAATCTTTCATTTGTCCAGATATATGCAGTGTCCATCACAATCCGTATTGTGGTAAGTTAGCCTTAGTCATTACATTCTGGAACCTGAACTATATGCGCAATAAAAGAAGGAGAACATATTCCTTCCTCTCTTTTGCAAAATGTAACTCATGTTTGTGATGATCAAACAGTTAGGATTCATGTTGCTGACTGCATTTTGGAAATTCAATTTTCCCCCATTTATGGTCCTTGTCATTGCCATTCTTAATGACGGTGAGGGCTCACACGCGTCTTGTCATTTCATAACTTTGCAAGATTGATGATATTATATTCTTCGTTTGTTTATTGAACAATCGTAAATTGTTTGCAGGCACAATCATGACTATATCCAAGGACAGAGTCAAGCCATCTCCACTTCCTGACAGTTGGAAGCTCAGTGAAATATTTGCAATAGGAATTGTGCTAGGCAGTTACCTCGCCTTGATGACCGCTTTATTCTTCTATTTAACTTTTGAGACTAGCTTCTTCGCGGTACTTTCCCCTTGTTACATCTATGCCACTTTAATAACTATTGAACAATGAATTAAGCTGATCATGCTCCTTTTTCTTCAGAACGCCTTTCACGTGACAGATTTCAACAAACATATTCCAGAAAATAAGGTCATCACTGATTCTCTAAATGCAAAACTAGCTTCAGCTGTATATCTCCAAGTTAGCACCATCAGCCAAGCATTGATCTTTGTTACACGGTCCCGAGGATGGTCATTCATGGAAAGACCTGGCCTACTCCTTGTTGTTGCCTTTATTGTTGCTCAGTTGGTAAGTATTTCCCTTCTTCATTCTCCTTTCATCTAGTGGACCAACACGCGATTTATCTATAGGGGTCTCATTTTCGCTCATCGTTTCTATTGCAGGTTGCAACTTTTATGTCTGCTATGGTTACATCTGTTAAATTTGCTGGTATTGAGAAGATCGGATGGAGATGGACCGGTGTGATTTGGTTGTTTAATATTATTACATATTTTCTCCTTGATCCCATCAAATTTGCTGTTCGATATGCTCTCAGTGGTAGAGCCTGGGGATTACTACTGAACCAAAAGGTAAGCAACTTCATATCCTTCTTCACAAAGCCATACATTACTTTGATTCTAGACATACAACATATAATGTAACGTATTTGCATTTATCAGACGGCTTTCACCAACAGAAAGGACTTTGGTAAGGAAGCTCGCGAAGCAGCATGGGCTGCTGAACAGAGGACAATTCATGGCCTTCAATCTGTAGAAACTAAAACATTTCCAGAGAATTACACTTTCAAGGAGATCAGTGTAATGGCTGAGGAAGCAAAAAGGCGCGCAGATATTGCAAGGTAAACACCCTTGTTCCTTTCAACCTTATAATCTCAAATTAGAAGCTTAACTTGCCTACATTTGATTGTTATCGATCTTTTAATTGTATCGTTCTACTTAACAGGTTGAGGGAACTTCACACACTTAAAGGGAAGGTAGAGTCATTTGCAAAGCTTAGAGGATTAGATGTTGATCATGTCAATCCACATTACACCGTGTAACGAGAGGAGAGTCTTCAGATATCATTCCCCTTTTCTCATTTGTGGAGCTCTTCGCCTTGTTTTCGTTTGCAGTTTTAGTTTTATCAGTTGCTCAATTTGTCAAATAAGCTAAGCTTTTTTCAAACTACATTATGTATGCTGCAGCAAAGTGCAAGTTTGAGGTAGTCCCTTTGTTAATTCTTTTGAGAGTCTACAGAAGCTGTGACAAGAATTAAGAAGCACTAAAAAGAGATTCAGTTACTATGGTATCTGTTAGGCTGATGTAATGAAAGATTCATGGAATAGATTATTGAATTATAACAGATTTTGGAGTAAAGCTAAATACTTGTTTATTCATGATGTGTTGTTTGAATTTTGAGAAGTTTTGACCAAAGTCAATATTTTGGGTTAACATACTCGGAATGGAATTACAACAGTTCCATTAGGACTTAGGATTGGAAGGTGATTTGGACTTAGTTGATGGTTGGTATTGGTCACAATACACTCATTTTATTAGGTCCAGAAGGTGATTTTTTTACTTAGTTTGATGATTGGTATTGGTCACATATATTCATTTTGTTAGGTCCGAAAAGTGATTTTTGACTTAGTTGGATGGTTGGTATCAAAAACATCTACAAGATAGACCTATAGTATTTGAGGGTGATTGGAAATTGTTGAATCGTTTCAAGAGAAAGACTAAATCTAACCAGTAAACTTCATACACAACTTCACCACCAAAAGAATTATGCCCTTTGGGCACGGGACTCCTCTAGAACTATGAAAATAATTAAAAAAACATTCATAATTTCTATTAAATCAAAACAATAAAGTTTGTGTTAACTATTTGACGGAGATCAAAAGTAAGTCCTCAAAGAAACTGTTTTAAGAGATTATTTAAACCCACTTCAAACATGTAATATAAAATTAAGACCATTTTATTAGTATAATTTTATATATTTGAAAGTATTTTAATCATTGAAGGACATATATTATATGGTTCCTAATTCCTATATGGATGCCAGTGATATGTACATATATCAAATCAAATACATAAGATAAGGCACCTAGTCATTGATGACTTGGACAAATAAGGGCAACACGTAATAATAACATAATATACTTTAATTTTTCACGTGTTGGGAAAGCAACTCCATACTAGGGGCGGAGCCAGCATACCGTAAGGGTTCATTCAAATTTCCTAGAAAAATATTACTATTTATACATGATTAAAATTATTTTTTATGTATATATAATAGAGGTTAAAATTCATTTGATTAGTTGGTGTGTTTATTTCTTCAAATTTTAAAAACCTTATTAAAAATCCTAATTCCGCCACTATCCTTACTTATTTTTTAATTATAATCATTTGGCTTTATTATATATGATGTGCCATCTCATGAATGATTCATGTTTTAAGAACAATAAAAAATCTGAGAAAATGCTAAATTAATAATACAATCATTTTCGTTTATTATAGAGGTTTTATTTAATTTCTTCAAGTTCCCTTTAATTTCTTTTTTGTAGTAAAGCATGTAATTTTACGGAATTAATAATTTAAAAATAATAAATTTGAAATAGATATGTGCCATGAGCTCCGGCAAGATAATTGGAAGCCACGTGTGGTTATGTTTTCCACGCAAAATAGCTCCTAAGTCCCAAAATACTTTCTCCCGACTCATTTTATTTGGCTCTTACATTAAAATAGACGCTTTATTTTATTTGTTCATTTTAATAAATTAAGAAAGTTTTTTTATACTATTCTTATACAAAAGTATAGTGTTCAAATTTTGAAGTTTCATAATATTATTAGTAAAATAAACTTTTAATTACAGCTTTCTTTAAAAATATGTTGTTCGTAAAGGTTAAGAAATATGAAACTAAGAGAATAAGATATTTCATTCCTAATGAAGTATACGAAACAGAATAGTGGGACATTTATTCTTAATCAAAACTCTTAGTTTAAACTTTCATGATGAAATTTCATCGTTAATAAAAAATTGAAGTTCCTACTTTAAGAATGAAATAGCTTTTAATAGCAAGTATTCTTTTGCGATGTTACTACATTGAATATGTCAAAAGGAAAAAAAGAGAATTTTTTTTTAACGTTAACTAAAAAGGAAAAGTAAAATAAACTAATTGAAACGGACTCGTAATCTTTGGATCCACTCAAATCAATCTCTGGTCTTCCTCTATGTTTCCTCTCTAACAGTGACTTCATAATTGTCTTTCCTGTCAATTTCAATTTACTTCCCTGTTTTCTACAATGAGTATTTGTTACTACTTAACAACATAACTTCATAAATATCTTTTCCACCTTATTTGTCGTTTAATAAAATATTTCTCAATCATCAATATGGGTTGTGGTATACTGTTGGGAGTGTTTCACCCTTAACTAAAGGTCTCGGATTCGAGCTCTGGATATGGAGAAAATCTTGTTAGAGCGCCACCCTCGAATGGCCCTGCAGTGCGCGATCTGAATTTAGTCGGAGGTCCAATGTAGACTCCGGACACGGGAAAACCAAAAAAAAAATATTTCTTAATCAAAGTTCATTTTCCACCACAATATTTTGCCACCTGAGACCATGATACTTTTTTTTGGTTGTATTATATTTGTACCTTAATTAAATACCCCTTTCTTTTGTTCACTTGTTAATTTCTTCAAGATTTTTAGTATTCTCCCATTGGTAGAATATGCCCAAGAAATCCTTTTTTTTTTTCTGTAGTTGACGAGGGATTTTGTCAATCTTAAGTTTTTATTTTATTTTTTTTGTCAACAAAGTTCAAGATTTTGAGACCATTATTAATTGATGCCATAATTTTGGGGAATTAGTTGGTTTCATTGGACTGAGCTGTCTGGAAGTTAGTTTAAAGACAAGAAAAAGGCTTTGTTTTTGTAGTGTGTGAAAGAATGGAGCTGAAATTGGTTGATTCCAAGTCATTGTTTTTGTCTAATTTTGAGCTGATGAAATCAAGTTCATTTCTTGACACAAAGCTAAGGTTTGGTCTCACTGGGACTCATAAGTTATGTTCTTGCAGAGGTAATTTTCTAATGTGGGAAAAATGAGATTTTTTTTGTGTTTTTAGTGTTAATCATTCATCATTGTATGTTCTGTTTAGGTTTTTTGGATTTTTCTTAGTTTAATTAGAAGATCATAAGGCCAATTCAATGTTCTTACTGCAATTTATGACCAAAGAAGCTATGTTGTTCGGACTCTCCAAAATGATGTTGCACCTATGTAGGTTCCTCTGAAAATACTCTACTTTTAGAGGATCGGACAGGCACCTGTCGATATTCTTGAAGAGTTCGAGTAACATAACAAAGAAGGGAAGGAAAGTGCAATTTCACAGTTTTTTTTAATATTATCTGAGAGGATCTTTATAAGCTTGTACATGTTTACCAAGTCTATTCCATTTGAGTCATGTTTGCCTTTTTGAGGTTTACTAATCTTTTGTCTCCAGAAGAAAATGTAGAGAACTTGTTCTAGAGAAAGTGTTTTTCTTAGTTTTTATTTCTTGTAATATTGGATTTAAACGAGTTTAAACGGAGTGACATGGACGGTGAGGATTCATATAGCCCCCACCTTGCTTGGGATCGAGGCGTAGTTGTTGTTGTCGTAGAACAATGTACCATGAGGCAGTACAAAGTGCATCTTTAGCTTAGAGGATTGCACACTTGCTGTTTCATTAGGCAAGACAGACGTGTTTGCGCTTGCTACAGAACATAGTGCCTAGATCTGAGACGATAACATTTCGTATGGTAATACCATAAATAGATGATATCAGTTGAGACATGTTTGGGATTGAGGTGTACGTAGTTACATCTTCCGATATTGATATTGGCTTTTGCCTGTTTTACATCCAGGTGTTGTACTCAAGGCCTCGCGTTCAAGTGCTTCTTATGATGCTGCAAGTTCAGTTAGCAAAGAAAATTTTATACTTGATGAATTTTCTTGTCAGATAAATGGTAAAAATTGTTCAGGACTGTATCTTAGAGATGTAAGAGTGCTTGATGCTTCTGATGATGAATATGGAGGAATACTCATTAATCCACAAACACTGCCATCCAATCCCGATATATTTGCATCTGTACTTCGTGAATCGCTGTCTCACTGGAAAATGAAGGTACTTCCTTAGCAGTAATAAACATATTGACCTCTCTTTATCTTTATGTAGAATTCCACAACTACATTTACCTTTATGTTGTTTACTGATTATCTTGAGGAAGCTATTGCATTTTCATTGTTTGGCTTGTCCTATTGCCAAAATGCTTGAAACGAATGGTGTCACCAGTCTGAGTGTTTCTTCAGACATAAATATATAATTACAGTTCATGGAACACCTAGTTTCTAATTGGCGTTGCATGCTGCAGGGGAAGAAGGGAGTTTGGCTTAAACTACCAGTCGAGAAATGTGATCTAGTTCCAATTGCAGTAAAGGTATTGACTGTCAATAATATCCGAACACAGATAGCTTTTTTTGAAGAACAAAGTTTATATCATGTTCCTTTAGCTTCCAATGCTAACTCTTGTTTCAAGCCAAACTCTAAAGTAACTAATTTCACAGGAAGGATTTCAATACCATCACGCGGAAAGAGGATATCTCATGATGACATATTGGCTTCCCGATGATCCCTGCATGCTTCCTTCTAATGCATCTCATCAAGTTGGAGTTGGTGGTTTTGTGATCAATGACAAAAATGAGGTATTAGCTTTTGAAAGACACTCCTAATTACTGTATTGAGCATGCCATAATATTACACATATCGCGTCTAGTGTAGTCCCTTGACTTCAAGAAATGATTACTCTAGGTGCTTGTCGTACAAGAGAAACATTCTGCACCAGCTCTTTCAGGCCTATGGAAAATACCAACTGGTTTCATTCTTGAGGTATGTTCTGGTTACTATTTTGTTTGTTAACAACAGTATATATAGAAACACGATATCTTTGCCTCAATCCGTAAACTCATTCTACCTTTTAATGCCAATATCAGTCGGAGGAGATCTTTACAGGAATCGTGAGAGAAGTGAAGGAGGAAACTGGGGTAAGTATTCGTAGGAACATATTTTCCCTGTAGATATGTAATCTAAAACGAGTATTCGCTTAACTATGGTTTTTTCTGGTTATCTTTCCAGATTGATACTGAATTTGTGGAGGTTATGGCTTTCAGGTGAGAAACGTTTGTCCTCTACATCATGATTCTATCTTTGAAGAGATTTTTAGAAAGGATGAATCTGATGTAGAAATATTGTTCTTTTTACGAAATGAAAACTATACAACTTGAATACTAATTTTGCTTGTAGCTATTAGACATGTTATTCAAGTACAAACACATGAATTAGAATGTGAAAATGGTGATTGCATTATCTAACACTAGTTGTTGATTGCAGACCATTATTCAATTTAACGTCTGTTCTTTTTCAGGCATGCTCACAATGTAGCTTTTGAAAAGTCGGATTTATTCTTCGTCTGCCTTTTAAGACCCCTGTCAACAAGAATCGCGGTTGATGATCTAGAAATTCAGGCAGCCAAGGTAAATGCTATTCACAAATCCGTCATTTAAGACATTTCAACATTCCTCTCTTTCCATCTCAATGATCATCATATCCATATTATATACTTGTATCTCTCCGTTCCTAGAGTAAAGAAACAATAAAACCTCAAGAATATTAAGAAACAATATGTTGCATTTTCATTCATGTCTAAGCTGCTTGTGTTTACAATGCAGTGGATGCCTCTAGTCAAATTCGTCGAGCAGCCACTAATTCAAGCAGATAGCATGTTCAAAAAAGTCATAGACATCTGCATTGCTCGTCTTGGAAAGCGTTACTGTGGATTATCTGTCCATCAACTTGTCTCTACATTTGATGGTAAACTATCCTCCTTGTACTTCAACACGGTTGAAGATTCAGATTCGAACTGTAAAGCCAACTAGCGCCATAATCAGAATTTGCAATGCATTTTTAGCTCTCGACTTCTCTTTCGATAGAGATGGACTGAGTTTAGCACAATATTACATGACCTGTAATAGAAAGAATAAGAAAAAAGTCAGGGAGTTAATATATAGTGTATATATCTTCTGCTGAGGACATGGGACTCTGTATATATGTAACATCTATATTTCTTATCTTATGACTAATTCAACTTCTAAGTGTTTTTCTGCCACTTCACTAGTATCTTTCTTTGCCCTTATTATGGCGTTGCCACTTGAGTGAAATGTTTTTGAACGCCCTTTATCGAAAAAATTATATTAAGTATATAGAAAATTATACCATGTATATAGGTCAAAAGTTACTCATTATACATATATATTAAATTTTGAACACCTTGATGTAAACTATGTCATTGTTTCCTTTCCCAGATACATTGAATACATCCGTGCCCTCTCATAAACAATCGTAACCATGCACAGATACACATGATACATCAATGCATTTTTATGTTTAATACATGACAATGATAGTAGTTACACTTGATGAAATTAATATACACAAATATATTACTATATTGATATTGGATACATAAATACACGAAATTTTGAAACACAGATACCAAAAAGTAGATGGACAAGGGAGAGAGAGAGGCGAGCGAGAGAAGAGAGAGTTGAGATACGTTCACTAAATACAATGTATCTTGAGGCAAATACAGAAATCTAGAGGCAACTCAGACAAGATACATAATTATTGAAACTATAACTCATACTTGTGTGCCTTATAAAAGTTGTTCTTTTCCTTTTTTTTTGCTTAAAAACTTATTGGAATTTGGAGTTTGTAGAGTAAAAAATATTTTTAAACCAAAATTAAACTACTCAAGTTTTTATATTAGTAAATAGAATTTGTTATAACAAAATTCAAGTTACTATATGGCAAACACATGGTTAATATCTTATTAAATTGTTATTGACACTTTCCTATACAAATAACTTTCTTGTAAACTTAAAAAATTTGTCTCATAAAAATACTATATTATAAATCACATTCTCAAGAAAAAAAAAAACTACTCCTCGTCTCATTTTCGCTAGACAACTTTTAAAAAAATGTTTGTCATGAACATAAGTTCTGTAATATCTTATTTGTAGGACAAAACTTATAGAAATCTTTTACCTTAGAGAATAACTTATGTTACTAAATTTTGTACCCAAAAGATTCTGATCGTTAGTTGTTAGGCACAATAGAAAATCAATCAAATTAAATTGTGTCAAATCAATTATTAGATTCATTGTTCTTATATATATTTATAATCATACCGAATAATTAGGTAGATAGATTGTAAATTTTGTAAAAATAAATCAAAAATACCAAATCATAATGAATAAATTTATATATGAAATACATTTTATATATCAATTACGTTTAAAAATAATGAAACATAATTTTTTTTTATCTTAAACTTGAGGAGAGGTAAACGACAACAAACGAACGAGTTAATTAACAACATGAAAGTGGGATGTTTTATCTTATTTATTTATTTATTTATTTATTTTATATAGATATAGTTGTTGACTGCACATTCAAATTATTCCTATTTTCTTGTTATAGATATTGGTAAATCTAAAAGAATATTCAAAAGTAGTAAAATATTATATTTTTATATTTTTATATTTTAATAGGAATGATGAGTGATGATTGAAAAAGGCCATGTGTGACATATTATGTTTAAGGTTCTAGCTAGGCTGTAGTCAGCTGCACTAGAATTAGTTGTTGCTAACGGCATTCACTTTTTATTTAACTAACAATTTTTTCGCAGATTTAAAATTTTTAAATTTTTACGTATATAACAAAAAAAATTAAAATGATACTTATAAAATGTTAATAAGTATTTTTTGGAACGATTCAGTTGGTTTGGAGGGTGATCATCCATACGGATGATCCAAAATCGACTTATCTAGTGCCATTACTTATTCACTTCAAGTTCTTTACTTAATAAGAAACTTAAAATATAGTATTATGTCAATAATTTAAAAGTTAATTTGATAATAAAAGACATTTAAAAAAATTAAAATTTGAATGATATAATGACATTAAATTATTAATTAGTTGTTGTAAGCTATAAAAAGTGAGATTATGTCACATTTAAATCATCACAAAGAGAAAAAAATGTGTAATTTAAATTCTGTAATTATTTAAGCAAATGAACTTTTCCAAATATAAACCTTTTTCTAATTTCTCTTCACAGAGACAGCTGTGGGAAAATAGAGAAAATATTACTCGGCGGCCACTGCACCCCACCTGACCTTTCCTCATCCTTTCCCCGCCAATCCTTCTCTCTCCGCCGTACACGGCGGCGATCTGAAGCCGCCGCCACCGTGCTCTCTCCGTAGCACAAGCGTCTCCGATTTTCATCTCGCATCTCGGTAAAATCTGTCTCCATTTCTCAATTTCTCTTCCGTAGACGTACTTCTGTATGTATATGTATATGCGTCTTTTTAGCTCAGTTTTGAACTTTCGTTATCTCTAGCTTCGGAATTTGTTAAAATTACGGTCCGAGTCAATTGGTCGTTGCGTTTTTTAGCCTCAATTAGCTGTGTTTGCTATATGTAATAGCTGAATTTTCTGTTAGTTATGTATAATGAGTTAAAATTGAGCGTGTTAAGTGTGTGATAAAGCTACGCCTTGTTTTACTGAATTTTATCTATTTATTTGTGTTTATGAAGTTTAGGTGCTTAGTAATTGGCTGTCAGCTTCCTGGATATTGAGTGTGATTTATTGAGAAACATAGCGAGGGTGGTGGACGAGGTGTGTGGACTACAATGAGATTGTTAAGGTCTAGCTCAAGTTCATCAAAGGAGCAGTTCAATGGAGAGAAAAATCGTTCTTTGTTGTATCTTAATGTATATGATCTCACACCTGTAAACAACTATCTCTATTGGGCCGGCCTCGGAGTGTTTCATTCTGGTATAGAAGGTACTAAAGCTTTTTTGTTCTCCTTTAATGTGTATTGTTATACATATTGTTGTTACATCTTATTTTGAGTTGGAAATTAAGCAGTGGTTTAGTGTCTTATAATTTGATATTAATCAATAAAGTTAGCCACTTTGACATGGTATGTAATTCTTTGCTTTATATGACTGTCAGTCACAAGGAAAGAAATCTCGTCTTAATGAGGGGAAAGAGATGTGATGTTCCGCATCTCGAGGACATTATCAGCCTAACTTGAATTGGAAAAACAATGAAGTAATTCAAGGATTAGAGGAGTGCATCAGTCACATAGAAAGTAGTTGTTCTGTCATCAGAGATATATCGACACTGGATTGGTCGTTAGAGAAACTAGTGTTGTTTGTCATCAAAAGGAAGAAGAAAAGAAGTAATCATCAACCAAACGGAAACCCACATTGGTCGGCACCGCCTGCTGATAGTGGAAGCTATTTGAGTCTACCAATATTGTGGAGGCTCTGATACCATGTGTAAATTTTTAAAGAACTCTTGTTGACTTAATTAGGTAACAACGTAAGAGAGATGCTTCATATATAAGTTGTCTAAGTTGCTTAGACTCCTTCATTTTCGGTGCCACACCCGCGTCGACATGACGTTAGTATGGGTGTGAGATCCATACTGGATTTGGTCAATTGATTTTGGGTACTTTGACCAAAATCGACGGAGAAATTTGGGACAGATGCCACAGATTGTAGTAATTAAAACAAAAGCTAGGGTGAAATTGAAGAAAATTGAATAATTTATCTATGGAAAGTTCTATGTCGGTCCTTTTCCTTTTATCTCCTTTTGGGATTCTACTCTCGGTCAATATTTTCTCCTTGAAATACCTTGTATGTTTTCCACATAATGCCTCATAAATAGACATATTACTCTATTTTTAGATATTTGAATTATTTTTAGCCGAATTCCCCCCACCCATATTCGAACCCCCAAATCTTGAAATTTAGATCGTGAAGGATCCGACCTCTAGATCCACATCTGTAGCAGACACCATCACCGAGTCTGAGCAACTTAGTAAGTCGTTGGTTATGTACAATATGGTAGATATCCAATCTCTAAGCTAATAAATAAGATATATTCTATAATGAGAATATTCTAAGGTATCCAATAGAATATTTATAAGATTTTATTTTTCGAGTAAATGAATCTAGACGTGTATTGATCTAGACACATATTCACTTGATGTTCTAACACTTCCATGTGTCATAATTAGTTGTACTTTCAAGCCTCTTCAATTCTTACCTCCTATATTTTTCCTCACGCTGGGTCCTTGTAATAAAGGTGATTTCCCTCTTAACTCTGATTTAGCTCTCCATTCTTTTTAATCTTTTTAGGAGATCCCTTGTCAATCTCAAACCCCTCACATGGCACAGCCAAAACTCTACCAAAAGCATTAGGTTTCTTCGCCACCCATTTCGAATCTTTCAGTGGATCTTCCGTCCTTTCACCAGGTCTATTATGTCTGTTACAAAGGTGAAAGTGCCAATTTAGAGAGTTGGTGAAGGTTTTTATCTGAAGGTGTCAACTTAAGTAGTTTACATTAGGAACCAACCGGTCTCGTAGCCTACCAGGTAAATGTGCTTACCTGCATGGATAATGGAACTGGCTCATTGATGGTTATGTTATTTCTTAAAAAAAGTTGACATAGTTATACACTATTAGTTGATAAATTTAGAGATACGTCTGCAAATACTGTTGACCAAGCTGGTGGAAAGAGGAAATATGGATGATAGAGTGAACATCACAGTGAAGCTTGTCATGTGAAACATAATCAGAGCGAAGTGTCTTCTAATTGCTTCTTTGTCCACCTTATCAAAAAGTTGCTTATTTACTTGTAGCATCAAGCAATCACCAGCACAAGATGGTTTCTCAAATCATTCCTGATTTCCTGTTACCATAGTGTACACTTAGTCTTGACAGGATCATGCATGTGTTAAACCAGAATAACATTAGGAAAATGCTAACCTAAAAGAACAAAGAAATTTATGTAAGAATTCTAGCTAGGGAAGGAGGAATTGCAGCCTTTGTCTAGATGAATTACATCAACCTCTCTCTCCCCAATCCGCCCCCGCTTGTTGAAGATTAGACAATTCCATTTATAGCAAATTAGTAATTTGATAGGACTATTGAGTAGCCACTAAGATTGCAATCTAATGCCTGAACTCATGTTTTATATGCAAAATAAATTACTCCTAGGATTATGTATTGCATTGTAAACCATTGATGATGGCTTCTCTTTCTCG